AAGTGGTGAAGAGCACAGCAGGACAATCTCAGAATGTTTCCCTGTAAATTACTAATGAATGACATTAACCAAATGGTGAATTTATAATGGGGAGAACTGGCTGTCACCAACCTGGGAGAATAATGAAGGTGAATGTCACCACTGCTGGGACAGGGAGATACAGTGTCCAGTCCTTGTTCTTTCCTCTTCCACAGTCCTGGCTCCCTTGGTGGCCTCATCTACGCTCATAGATTTAAGTGTCATTTTTGTAGCATCACCTCTTCACCTATGTCTCCAGCCCAGACATTACTCCTCAAGGTCCCCACACTCATCTGTCCAACCTGACATCTCACTGGTGTGTCTAACACCTATCTCACTTTGACCTTCTCTCCAGCTGAAAGCTTGAAATGCCCACCCTTCCCCCACACATGCTCCTGCCAGTGTCTTCCCCCTCTCTGCTGACATAACCCTATCTTTCTGCTGGCACAGAACAAATGTGGGATGGGGGTGCCCTCCTTGACTTCTTTCCCACACCCCAGGTTGAATCCTTAGGAAATGCCATGAAATCCATCTTCCACGTGCATTCAGTGTCCAGTCCCTTCCCACTGTTTCCACTGCTCACAGCCCCATCAAAACACCCAGCACCTGCAGCCTGGAACCATGAGAGCTTCCCCACACCTTTCCCTCCTGCTTCGCTGGTCCCTTGTCTCCTGATTCTGTCCTCAGTTCTGCAGCCAGACTGACCCTGTGGCCCAAGGGCTCTATCTTTGGGAGGAACTCTCAGAGGAAGCTACTAAGGACATGGGCTCCTTGGCCATGACCTTCCAGGACTCAGCATCCACAGAATGAGAACAGTGTCTGCAGTGGATTAAGGACACTGGACTCTGGAACAGTTCTGGCTTTATTAGGTATTTCTGACAAAATCGGTGTTCTCCATTTTTGAATTGGTCAGCTCTCTGCATCCCACATGGACACCTCTAAAGACTACAAGAGTGGGTTCTGGAAGCTTGGGGCAACTCCTAGGCAACAAAGCACTAATTGATTAGCATCAGGGGGCCTAACCATCAAAGCCAGAGGCTCTGAAAGGTACATTCAGATGTGTGGGAAGACACCCTGAACAGTGCATGGAGCACAGGTGGTCACAGGGAACATCACTGGAGAGCCATGCAGTCCTCTTGTCATGTGGCACACAGTCTGTCCTTCCCAGGTTGTCTGCACACCTCATGGTAAGTTGATGAACTTAAAGTGACTAGAACAGCTTAACAAACGGGGAGAAGGTACAGATAGAATAACCACTAGTTGGAAACCATACAGTGTAGCATTTTTAATCTAAATCACTTCTGTTCAGTTTATGTATATAAATATATAGCCAATTTCAATATAATGTAGGCATGTTCTATTCCTGGTCACAGAATCAATAGTCATGGATCCTTAATATCCCAAGGGGAGGCTACAATGACTATTTAAGCAGCAGGTCCCGTAGAAAGCAGCTGTCACGCTGGGAAAGAAACTTGTCATGAACAAATTCAGGTCAGTCTCAGAAGTGTCACATTCCCCCACAGCCCACCTCATGCTCAGAATGTCCCACCTGAGAATCCTGAAAACCCAGTTTGTCTCTCAGTCCCAAACCCCCCAATTCCTGCCCTCAGGATCTCACCATTAGGAGCTGTGATAGACGCATCAGAGCCCTGGGCACTGTCACTGACTGGGGAAGACACAACAGCAGAGTTATGGGTGGGGGAGCCCCCCTCACAGACTCCAGCCCACACTCTCCCAAGGGTCCCAGATGTCACCTCCCAACACTGTGACTTACAGGCAGCCTGAGTGTAGTTCTTCCTGCCTCTGCCTGTGGGAAGACAATGTTGTGTGAGAAGTCGGGGAAAGCTGGATTCTGGTACCCTAAAAGAACCCTATACCCCTGAAGTGCAGGGAGATTTCCAGAACTGTGACTAAACACCCAAGTTAGAATCACGAAATATAGGGACAGTACATGCGCGGGGACTCTACCAATTGCCCCTCTGGACATCGGTCCTAAGCAGTGACCTTCATTCTGACCTGTGACAGCTGGGAATTAGCCCCCATCACTAGAATCATCAGGTGATAAATGTGTCCCTCACTTTCCCACGGGCCTCACTGAAGAGTCAGTGTTAGGAAACAGGCCCCAGATGGACAAGCACCTGTGTGGGGATACGATGCCTATTAAGGAGGCAGAGCAAACTTTCACCTGGGCTTGACCCCCAGGGGGACAGGAAACTCAGCCCCACCCCTTGCCCACCTGAGCACTTCCTCCTCCACAGCACAGCTCCAGCCACCACAGCTCCAAGGAGACCCAGGGCAGCACTGATGCCCACAAAGATGATGGTGACGGTGGTCTGAGGAGGGGGGTCTGTGAGGGGAAGGTGAGAGGTCAACCTCAGGCCTGAGTCCTGACCCTGCTCAGGGACACCCTGAGGAGAGGCTCTGTGCCCACGTCCCCTCCTCACCCCATCTCAGGGCCAGGGGCTCAGACAGCCCCTGGTGCTGCACATGGCATGGGTATCTCTGCTCCTCTCCAGGGGGCACGACCACAGCTGCCCACTTCTGGAAGGTCCCGTCCCCAGCAGGCCTGGTCTCCACAAGCTCCATGTTCTGGGTCAGGTCCTCCCCTTCACGCTGCCAGGTCAGGGTGATGTCCGCAGGGTAGAGGCCCAGGGCCCAGCACCTCAGGGTGACCTCATGGTCAGAGATGGGGTGGTGGGTCATGTGTGTCTTTGGAGGGTCTGAGGGGAGGGTGAGAAAATTCAGGAAGTTTTCATGGTCATGGGACACTCCAGCAGTGCTCATGTGACCACCCTGAGAGTGGACAGGACAGCTGGGGTGGGGGAAGGGAGAGCAACAACTGGACACCAGTCTGGACAGAGGCATCTGGGATCATCTATTCCTGGTAAGCTGCAGAATTAAGATGAGATCTTAGCATAGGAGTGTCCAGGTCTCTAAGGGGAGACACAGACTCAGGTGGAAGCTGATGACTCAGCAAACCAGAAGTCAGGCCTCCAGAGAAGGTCTCAGCCCCAGAACCAGGGAGAGTGTCCTGGTGCACCAGGTGCTGCAGGGTGTGAGGGAACCGCTGTGGGGTGTTTCAGGGAGAGGCTGGGTCCCTTACTGTCCTTTAGAGAAAGCTGGACCCGTGGGTGAGTCACAGAATAAAAAACCTGAGGGTCTCTTCCCTTTCCTGAGCAGGAGGGACATTCTGTCACTGCCTCATTCCCCTCCTCTCCTTGTAGGAAGCCGCCCCAGCCCACAGATCACCTCCTCTGGGAGGCCCGGGCCCTGGTACCTTCTTGGAGAAATGTCTTCCTCTCCTCCAGGAGCCAGCGAAGCCAGTGCACGCAGGTGTCCTCCAGGGCGACCCTCTTTCGCTCGGCAGCAGGGAGGTGCACTAATCTCCCCCTTGGAGTAGTTCGGGTCTCCTTGTCCAGCGGGTCGGTTGTGGTCCAGGAGCGCAGGTCCTCGTTCAGGACCACGTTGTCGGCGCCGTCGTAGGCGAACTTGCTGAACCCGCCGAGGAAGTTCCCGTCGGATCCCAGGACGCAGCTGGTCATTTCCTGGAGGGTGTGGGACACTGACCCCGCCCCGAGGTTGCCTCGGTCATGGTGCCCTGGATTCGACCCGGGGGACCGGACCCAGGGTGATTAAACCTGGTATGAAAATGAGGCGGGAATAAGTTCCCGCGCCCTCCTCCCAGGATGGGTCCTGTAGCCTCGGGCTGACGCACGGATACGGACACGGGGCGACCACGGCCAGTCCGTGGGGATGGGGGTAGTGCCCGGACCCGGGCACGGGTGGCTCACCGTCCTCGCTCTGGTTGTCGAGGGCGCGCAGCCTGTTCAGGTTCGCTCTGCTCCTCTGTTCGTGTTGCCTGATTTTCCGCAGGTAGAAGTCCTTAGACTGTTAACCCTTCGGCTCCACGCCTTCTAACTCCCTTAAAGGCTTCTCCCACGGCGCTGCCAACTTTTGACTTTGACTCCAGGCGTCCATGACGACCCGCGGGATCTCCGTGTCGTCCACGTAGCCCACGCCCAAGTACCAGGACTCCTCGCCTCCCGGTGCGGACACGGACGTGGTGGAATATCTCAGCGTGTGGGGACCTGGTGGCGGGGAGGACGCGCGTCCAGGGTCTTCAGTCGGGCCGGTAGAGGCAGGAGATGCGCTGGAGAGGTCGGGTAGAGGAGGGAGGGGGTGAGAGAGGGGGCCGGGGCCGGGATCCGGGGTCGGGGGTCTGGGCTGAAGCTGCTGGAGACGCGGGGTGTCCGGGTCCTGGGGCTCCGCCGGGTGCCCTCGCTCCCGACCCCCAGATGCCGTTCCCTCCCGACCCCGCACTCACCGGCCCAGGTCTCGGTCAGGAACATGGCCCCGGGGAGCAGCAGGAGCAGGGGTGAGGGCTCCATGACCGGCCGTACGCGCCCAGTTTGTCATTCGTCTGTGAGTCTTCTGTTGAGTTCCGTTTGTCAGTCTTCTGAGCCCTCTGTTGAGTTCCCTTTCTCAGTGGCTGTGAGCCCCTGTTGAGTTCCGTCTGTCAGTGGTCTGTGAGGACTTTATTCTCAGAAGCACGGTGACGCTGACTGGCTGATCTAATGTTCGGATATCCAATCACAGCGAGAACTGCGCAAACAAAGCGTCACGTGTATCGGGAGGTAGGACCTGACAAGACTAGTAAGAGGGAGGAGTCAAACCCGGAGGATTTGACTCACCCCACCTCGGCCCTCCAGGTCTCATGCTAAGATCCTGCACCCAGGTCTGGGGACCCGGGACTTTGCGCTGAGCCCCCTCCTACACCGAGAAGTCTCTGTCCCTCTGTCTCCCTGAGTCCCAGCCCACGGGCTGTTTTATTAATAGTGCCTCAAACATTTTGGTTTCAGAACATCTATACTGCCTTACAAAATAGGGAGAACGGCCAGAATACTTGTGTTTGTGTGCGTTATAGCTGTCAGTATTACCATAAGGAAAAAATAGTTTGAAAAATTATTTAGAATAACTTTAACAACCTATGACATGTTAACAGAAATAATGTTTTTATGCAAAATAAGTATTCCCCAAATAAACAAGGTAGTGAGAAGAGTGGATTTTTTACATTTACATTTTTCCAAGTCCCAGTTCTTGTTTGTATCATTAGAAGTCCACTGGATTTTCATATTTGCTTCTGTGTTAAATCTATTCTTTGGTTGTAGTTTATAAAAAAATACAGCCTCACACAAATATGTAGGGAGAGCATTTTTAAACCTTTCAGATAAGTGTGGATATTTATCTTTGATTATACACTAAAGCCACACAAGTGGTATTTCCTGAAAATCTCTTTGCAAATTGGATCATGAAATAACACCACTGAGTGTTTCCTATTCTGTTATGTTGTTTGAGTGGCTCTTGTACTGATGCAGCATTATTTACAATTAACGAATTGTTTCACTAAGTGATAGAGATCTCCCAGGGTGGGTGCATTTAATGACACATCATCAAAAATCACATTTGTTAAGGTTACCACAGACCTCACTGGAAACGGTTGTCAGCTCTGGGAAGCTGTCAGGCTGCCATGGTGAGACACACCTTTGCCAGAACCCTGGTTTTCCTCTGAGAGCTTCCATTCCATCCAGACAACAAGTGCTGTCAGGTGTCAGCTGCCCCTTGATTCTCCTTGAGGGAGAAGCTCAGGTTCATTTGGGAGAGTGTTTGCCAGTTCACCACACCTCAGTCATCACAGGTTCTGTGTCTCTCATTCTCTTAAGTGAACTTGCTGTTCCATGAAGAAGAGGCTGGCTCAGCCCTCACAGGTCACTTTCCTGGGCTCATGACACTTGGGGATTAATGTAGCAGAGTGTGTTTGTGCACTTTCCCGGTCATCATGGGATATATTTTACTTTTTAATTCTCCATTTTCACTAAGGACAGTTAAGAAATTAATCCATTTGTATAATGAATTCAAGATATACTTATCTTCTTTTAAAATATTTTTTATTTTTCAATTACAGTTGATCTACAATATTAAGTTAGGTTCTGTACAACTCTGTGTTTACATATTTATGTAAGTTACAAACTGATCACCCCAATAAATCCAGTAATGATCTGGCACCTCTTGTGGTTATTACAATATTAATGACTGTATTCCCTATGCTGCACTTTACTTCCCCATGACTGTTCTGTAACCACCAGTGTGTCCTTCTTAATCCCTTCACCTTTTTCTCCCAGTCCCTCCAGTCCCATACCATCTGGCAACTAGCATCTGTTCCATGAATCTGTTTCTGTTTTTCTAGATTACTTTATTTTTCATGTTCCACATAGAAGTGCAATCATCCGGCATTTGTCTTTTTCTATCTGACATATTTCACTCAGCACAATACCTTCCATTCCTGTAGTTGCCAATGGCAAGATTTCATTCTTTTTATGGCTGAGTCATATTCCCTTGTACATATGCACCACTTCTTGATCAAATCATCTGTTGATGGACACTTAGGTTGCTTCCATATACCGGCTTTTGCAAATGATGCTGCAGTGAACACATGGATATGAATGTCTTTTTGATTTAGTGTTTTGGGTTTTTTACAGATAAATACCCAGAAGTGGACTGGCTGGGTCCTTCTTTGTCTCTTGGTATAGCCTTTGTTTTAAAGTCTGTGGTTTCTGGTATAAGTATTGCTACTCCAGCTTGAATTGTTTGTTTCCATTTTCATGAAATATCTTTTTCCATCCTTGTGCTTTCAGTCTGTGTGTGTCTTTCTATCTGAATTGGGTCACTTACAGGCAGCATAAGTGAGCATCTTATTTTCTTATCCATTCAGTCACCATACGTGTTTTGATTAGAGCAATTAACTCATTTGCACTTATACTAATATATTTTTATTATTTTTATTTTTACTTTTTAAATTTGTGATATGTGTTTATTGCTATTTTATTATTCATATTTGTTTTATTTTTATTCTTCTTCTTCTTCTTAATGAAGACCCTTTATATTTCTTGTACTACTGGTTTGGTGGTAATAAACTCTGTTAGCTTTTTCTTGTCTGGAATGCTCTTTATTTGTCTCTTGATTAAAAATGATAGGTCCTTGGTTTTCATTACTTTGAATATTTCTTGTCAATCTCTTTTGACCTGAAAAGTATTTGTTTAGAAATCATCTTTCTATCTTATGGGGGCTGCCTTGTTGATAATTAAGTGCTATTATCTTGGTGCTTTTAAAATTCTCTCTTTGTCTTTAACATTTTTCATTTTCTTTCATGCTTTTTAAAAATTTTTCATTTTAACCTTTGTCATTTTCATTATGTTGTGTCTTGGAGTGGGCTTCTTTGGGTTTATCTTGTTTGGGACTCTGCAGTCTGGACTAGTGTGTCTACTTTCTTCAGCAGGTTAGGAAAATTTTCTGTCATTGCTTTTCAAATAGGGTTTCCATTCCTTGCCCTCTCTCTTCTCTTCCAGGCGCCACCATGATATGAATGTTGGTACGCGTGAAGTCGTCTGAGAGGCTCCTTATGCTCTCCTCATTTTTGTTTTTGTTGTGCTCTTTTTATTGTTTCTTTCTCTCTCTCTTTCTTTCCTCCTCTCTCTCCCTCCCTCCCTCCCTCTCCCTTCCTCCCTCCTTCCTCTCTCTTTCTCTCTCTCTCTCTGTCTGTCTCTCTCTTCTGTTCCGATTGTGTGTTTTCTGGTTCTTTACCTTCCCAAGCTCTGATTTCATCCTGTGCTTCATCTACTCCACTGTTGATTCTCTGTAATGTATTCTTCATTTTTGTTATGGCATTTTTTATTTCTAATGTTTTCTATCTCCATTTTTATGTTTCCTGTCTCTTTGTTGAAGTTCACACTAAGTTCATCCACTCTGCCCCTAAGTTCATTGAGCATCCTTATAACTGGTATTTTGAACTCTGCATCTGGTTGATTGCTTGCCCAAAATTTGGTTAGTTCTCTTCCTGGAGTTTTGTTCTGCTCTTTCATTTAGGACATGCTTCTCTCTCCTCATTTAGTCTGCCTTCCTGTGTTTGTTTCTGTTGTGAGGTAGAGCTGCTCCATCTCCTGGTCTTGGTAGCGTGTCCCCATGCAGTGGGTGTCCTGTAGGGCCCAGGGGTGTGGTCTCCTCCCTGTTCACCCGACCTGGGCACTCCTGGTGTCTACCTTCCCCGCTGTGTGCTGTGTGCACCCTGCTGTTGCAGTTGAGTTATGATTGCTATGTTGACACAGAAATTTCCCTTTTAGGAATTTATCCTAAGAAGACAGTCACACATGTTCTCAAATATATATATGCAAGGGTGCTTCTTGTATTGTGGTTTTATAAAAGCAAAAGGATGGAATGTCTCTAAATGCTCCAATCAATAGAATGATGGTAACTGTTGATGGGGAACTCAGGAGTTGAGAAAATTTTAGTGTTAGGTATCGGTTAATAAGCTTAGTAATGAGGGCCTGTAAAACACCGTTGTTTCAGGCACTGAAGGAACCACCAACCTGAACCCAGGTAACAGAGGGATTCCATCTTTGTGCCCCAGGGGGACTGCAAGCAATCAAGATCATATCTGAGCCCTGTGCTCCACCACCCAGGACACAAATAAAAAATCACAGGTCAACAGATGAAAGAATGCTAGGAAAATTGCTTTTATATGATTAACATTTTCCCTGATGGCAACTGTGTGGCTTGGCTTCTGTGCCCTGAGGAGCAAATTCAAGGTCAAAATAGAATTTCCTTGTAGCATTGCAGCAAGGCAGATTTAAGAAAGTCTATATGATCAATTACTATTTTTTTAAAGATTTTATTTATTTATTTTTAGAAAGAGGGGAAGGGAGGAAGACATGGAGAGAAACAACAATGTGTGGTTACCTCTCCCACACTCCCTAATGTGCACCTGGCCCACAACCCATGTGCCCTGACTGAGATTTGAAGCAGCAACCCTTCAATTCACAGGCTGGAACTCAATCCAATGAGCCACACCAGCCAGGGCTCAATTACTATTCTTGTTGGGTTTGTGCAAATAATTAGGCCAAATTAACCCTGGACTTAATGCAGTCTCTTTGATAAAACAAAAAGAGGGCAATTGTAGGGAGGGAAATTGTGTTTCTATGGAAATCATAACACTCAATTGTGGGTCTTGGGCTCCAGTTAAATTTTTATTTTTCACCTACAAACTGAATTACATCCTGAATTTTCCCAATTGTCTTTCAAATGAATGTTTTATTTTTCTCTCATTCTTTGACTTGGGATTATTGAGAACCACTGATGCAATGCCAGCCATACAGAATTCACCTGCGCAACTGATGACATCTCCAGACATTTAAACTGCACACAGAGAGGATCTGTCACACTGTCACTGCTCACTGTCATTCCAGCAAAGGCCTTGCTTTTGAAGTCTTCTCCTCTGACAGACTTGCAGACTCAGAAACTGGTGAGGACTTTCTGTGTTCATTAACCTCTATGTTCTTCCTGTTTTCATGGGGCGTATGCCAATGACCGTGTTTACCTGGCTGCTTGTGCCCACACTAGAGGCCTCTCTAGAGAAGCCCATCTGCATCTCCACCTCCTGAAATGAG